TTTGGTGGCAATTTTAGGCAAAAAGTGTGATTAGAATCCTATCCTATAATAATTAAGCCACAATAACTTAACCAGGGCAAATAAAAATTTAAACGTTTTGTTTACCAATGGGAGTCTTCGTTAGATCTGCTTGTTCCATAGGTCCGAAGATTCTTAGATAAATAAATAAGTTATTTACAAGATTTCGTATCCTTATTGAGCACTTTTAAGTGGTATTATTATATTATTAATAGTATGTCAATATCCATTTCACTGTGTTTTCAATGTTAATTTAATATTTATTTTTTAAACCCAAATTTTTTTTGAGACTATTCATCAAAATTATTAAATTTTATTATATATTCGATTTTTAAATAAAATTAATTTCAAATTAATTAATTTTTTTCTATTAATTTTATCCGTTCTACAATCTCAAACTTTTTAATAAGCCTAGGCAACAATGCCTCCATAAAATAATTAAGGGTGTTGTAATTAAGTAAGAAAACTAGGGGTAAAAAAATTTTAAAATATTCATACTAAGTTTATTCTCTATAGATGATTGATGATGGCTATTTTTCAGAGCTTGTATTACGAACATGAATTCTAAACTTTTTTATTTTGAAATGATTTTATTTGTAGCTATTCCGATAAAAATATTCATTAATCGGTTATATAATTTATTTTTTGATAAATAATAATAATTTATAAATAGTATATAAATAAAATATATTATAATACAAATGTGTCTCATATTATAATGAGACCTTCTTAGAAAGATTAGCTGGTAAAATTAGACGATTGTATGTTATTTTGATTTATAGCCCAATCTGGAAATTCATTAACTTTAAAAATCAGGATGCCATAACTATTGATAAACACATAAGTCACAACTATACATATCAAGTGAATGAATATGCCTGGTTTTACCTAAATGGAATTTTTTTTTAAAATGAATAAATAATATATATAAATATGTAAAAATAAATATTGCTACTTTAAAATAAGCTTAGCATAAGTTGTTAATTTTATTTTACCGGATTGCCCATGCAAAGTGTGTCAGCTTTAAGAGCATTCTAATGGACTCTATTTATTTAAATTTTGGAGGAATTATAAATAGCGAATGTATTCAGTTATGTTTTTGTAAAATTTTTATTAAATCTAGGCAATTCATTATATAGAAAAGATTAATTGAAATTTTAAAATTTTAATCCATATTTACTCTGGAAACTAAAATTTTTTTTATTTAATAAATTATCAAAAAAAAAGAAAAGTTAAAATATCACTGGAAAAAAACAATCCTAGAAATTGGGGAAAATCCCCCAAAAAACATCAATGTTTCATTATCGAAACTCTATGAAAAAATATCAAGAGACATAGTCGAAATAGGGAACACTTAATATAGATTCATGTCTGGAAGGATTAATGCAATCAATAACGCAATTAGATAAATGAATGAAAAATATAGGGAAGGAAACAAAAATTTCACTTGGTCTTCCTCGATCTAGAAAAAGCTTTCCATAGAATTTCAAGGAAATTTATCTGGTGGGCTTTACGCAGCAAAAATGAAATCTGAAAAATATATTAGAATAATACATGATATGCAATGCATAAAAAGCATCCAATGCACAAAAGACACATCGGCTTTCGTAAAGCCGAAGGAGTTCATCAAGGATCGGCTCTCAGTTTCCATTTATCTCAGAATTAATCCCATGAAGTATGATATTTGCAGATGGTATTGTAATACATGCTGAAAGAAATAAGGAAATGAAAGAAAAATTAACGAGTTTGATAGATATGCTAGAAAATCATGGGCTAAAAGTCAACAAGAAAAAAACAGAATATATGGTAATAGGCGGAGATGAAAAAGATTATTTTGACATAAATGATTGACAAATAATTGAAACTGTAAATATTTAGATTCCATTTTAAATGGCACAATTGAAAAAGATAATCAAAAATAAAATGAATCAAGGATGATTGAGGTGGAAAAATTTATCAGGAGTGCTCTATGATAAACGAATTCCACACTAATTAAAAGGGAAGAAGATGTACAATTTTATACTAGAGCCAACTATACCATATAGTTCAGAAAGATGGCAAAGCAAAGAATCAGACGAATGATAGCTAGGGTATCAAAAAAAATATACAAAATACAAATACACTGGAAGTTTAAAGATTAAAACAAAAGATTACTGACCAGATATAGGTGGTATATATACATACGATGAGAAAGTCCAAAAAATACATGGGAAACGAGGTTAAAGTTGTGATGGGTAAAAGAAAGAGAGGAAGGCCACAACTCTAGGAGATATTATGATGAACGCATTTGATTAAATAAAAATATATATTTATGCATCCTTGAGTTTTTCTTGATATTATTTTCCACTAGAGCATTTCTCCGGAGTTTTTTTCTAGTGACACTTTGCTAGGATTCTAAAAGAAAACTCTTCTTCATAAAAACTTGTTTTGAAACATGAAGAAAAGCAATAGAATGTTAAAACTTTTATTCCACGGGTCACTCACTCATAACCATAACTATTAGTGTTGTAAACAATGAACGCTTTCCTGAATAAAATTCGTTTGTTTTAAAAATCATGATGAACAAATATTAAACGTGAAAGTAATTCATTTGGGGGGGGGGGTGACTAAAATGCATATGCCTAAGTAAACTACAAAAATCAAGGTAAACTGCAATTTCTTGGGTAAAAAATTTATTTATGTCAGGCGCATAACCAAGGGAGAAATCTCAAATTTGCATGATAGGTTTATCTGCATTGCTATATAGAATCATGAATAACAATGCAATTACCTTGATGAATAGCCGTACCCTAATGGCTTATTTAAATAGAAGCTTTATTACGATCGCCACTTATTCGGCTTAATTACCTCTCTAATAATGTGATAAATTTAAGGAATTCCTCACCCAAAACACTAAGAGTATTGGTGATGAGTGGGATAAAAATTAATATCTGTTTAATTTCAAAATTTCTGCCGAATTAAGTGCTGAAGTATTTCTATTGGAACGCACCAAAAAATTGATGCATGTGCAATCCCAAGCTATTGGAAGACCAAAATATTAAGCTGATACCATTGGGTGTTCTGTTTTGCTTGGGCATAAATGATTAGACTCTAGAGTATTCGAGATGGCGCTTTTAAGAGCTTTAGAAATTAAATTATTATCTACAATGCAAACGATGGTGCCACCTGGTATCGGATGGTAAATAAAATTAATACATTTAGAAGGAAGCGATATATAACAGTCAAGACTAAGCGAAATTGTTATACGAAGTATTTCATTAGTGAGGAGAAGACTAAAATTTTTGCTTGGAATAGCTGACAGCCATTCGTTGCCCGATTTCGAATAGATTGGCTGGGACATTGTACAAATGAATCACTCGATAAGAGGTGATCATCGGAGTGAGACACAAAGGAAATATCCCATACCAGGTGTAAATAGCGCTTTCTAGGTCAAGATCATTACCAGTAGGGATTAGAGTTGAAATGCTTAATATTGAGGAGATAAAAGCAGCAAGAGATTGGGGGCGGTAACCAATTCCATTATTTTTACATGGAAGAGAGGTGGAGCCACGATTTGTCTGAAAATTTTATATTGAGAATACATGTTTGAATAGAGATCCTTGTAAAGAAAGATTTTAATATTTTTTTGATTTGTAAAAAAAAATATTAAACATATAAAAAATATTAGTGCCTTGTTTTTTGCAAGAATATTAAAATATATCAATTTGTTTCACAAAATTTAATGATATTTTAAAAAATTAAGCCTGACCCGGCTCGGTCCTATATTCAGTCCAAACCACAATTATTTAAAAAATAGGCATGGCCTGTAGCGAGATTTGCAGATCTCTAGTCTCAACATAAAATCAGTGGCTTTGCTAGCTTTCTCAACTTGAATTTTTTAAAAAATTTCTCTAAAAGGTTAATTCTATCTAAAATTTGGAAAAAAAAAATGGAAGTCCTTATCTAAAAATGTTCGAAGGTTTTTCAGGGGTCTTGAGTCCCTGCATTCTCTCAACATGTTACTAGACAAAATATCAATTCTAAAATCTTGTTATTTTTACAACTAATGGACAATTAGTAATATATTTGAAATAAATCTCAAAATAAAATCCTTATTCATGAAAAATTCGGCCATCTTATCTTCAGTTCCTGTTGACCACATTTTTAAGCGAATTTTAACTTCAACTATGAAAGGCTCTTGCTTAGCAGACGAAAAATTTGATAAAAAAATATTTGAAATTTATATCTAAATATTTTATTGTGGTTTTATATTACAGAGTTTTCCATTCAAAAAAAAAAGTCCCAATCAAAAAAGGAAAAGATTTAATCATAAAAGGAAAAGGTCCGATCAAAAAATCAAAAGGGTCAATCATAAAAGGAAAAAGTTCAATCAAAAAAGGAAAATTTCCAAAAAGAAAGGAAAAAGACCGATCAAAAAAGGAAAAGTGTCAAACAAAAAGGAAAAGTGTCAATCGAAAAAAGAAAATTCCCAAAAGGAAAGGAAAAGTGTCAACTAAAAAAGGAAAATCGTAATTTTTTTTAAATTTCTTGTCAATTTTTCTTAAATTTTTATTTATTTTTGTTATTCCTACTTTTCCTTTTTTGATTGAACCTTTTTCTTTTTTGTTTGACACTTTTCCCTTTTTTATGAACTGTTTCCTTTCTTTTTAGGAATTAACCTTTTTTGATTGACACTTTTCCTTTGATGATTGACCCTTTTCCTTTTATGAAACTTTTCCTTTTTGATTGGGATTTTTTCTTTTTTGAGAAACCCTGTATTATACACTATATTTCATGATATATACAAACTAAAAACATTGAATCAAGGGGCTAACATAATATTATTAGAGGCAACTATTTCTAAAGGGTTCCCAATAAACAACTAACGCGAACAAATTCGTATTATTAACATGTTTCCATCATTAACAATTATCTATATAGTGCAACCCTACTCAATTTTAATTTAATTTTAAAAAAATTGTGCTAAATATATATTAATTTAATCATACCATGTCGAGAAATTTCAGTTTTCCAGCCGAGAAAACAATGGCGTTAGGGGCAGTTCCTATAGGAAGCATGAAGCAATAAGAAGCTGCCAAGGTAACGGGGAACATAAAGTACAGTGGGTTAACTTTGATACTAACCGCCTTTATATACATAAAATATTTAAAAATATAATGCATGTCATTAAAAAATTTTTTTTTTCAAATTTTGGTTTTTCAAAGCTCACAAAATCGGATTGTAAATGAATAATTGATGAAATTTTTGTTTAAATAAGTGCGGATTGTAGAATTAAGTAACTACTATAGGTGGATAATTACTATATTTTTAACCGGTTAAAAATTCGGCTAAACCAAATTTTTACCGAAAAATATCATTTTTGTCTCGGAGTTTTTCTTAAAAGATAGCAGCTCAAATTTGGAAGAAACTATTAGAAAATAAAAGGCCGTAATAATAAAGGATTTTTTCCGGCAGGCGCCTAATGATTGAGCCTAATTAGCCGACATTTAGCCATTACACTACTATAGTAACTACATTTGAGCTGTGAAAAATAATTTGCTATTAATTCGCTTAAATAATTTAAACAATTGTTTAATAATCCGATATTTTAAAAAAAACCCCGCCGCTATAACGTAAACAAGGGTTAGAAGTGTGTAGTGCTTCATTTGCAATATTCAGAATTAATAATTTTATTAAAATAAAAACTTTTCTTAAGGTCTAAGAAATAGGGTTTTTCAAAGTCCAGCAATCGATATAAACATAAAAAAGTTATCAGAGCTTTAAATACATTAAGGGTACTAGGGTAGCACATTATGCTCTCCGACAAAGAAATCCCTGTCCATATTTTATTACTCTGCTTCAAAAACAACCTTCATCATAAAATTAAATTTTACCTTTATTTGATAAATGAATCAGAAATTTTCCTTTCTTATGAGATGTGATAATTTATATTTATTTAGATGAAGGGTTATTCTAAAATTTTCCATTATTTTTTATAAAATATGTTTATGAAGTATATAGTTAGTAATTTTAATTAATGTGCACAATAAAAAATCTTTTAAACTAAATTTTTATTCATTTGTATTTGTAATTTATAATATAAAAAATATATTCTTGCTAGAACCCCATAAGATAGAAAAATTTCTGAATCATTCATCATCAAATAAAGGTAAAATTTATTATTCATCCATCATTGAATAAAGAAGAAAATTCTTATTCCCCGTCATTCTTGACCGGTTATCAAAAATCTGTAAATTTATATTTATGTGCTCAATCTATCTATTATAATAATCCTCAAATACCCTCATCTGAGGGTTTTTTCAAAAAAAAATCATTGAGTAAAAAAGAAAATTGTGATCCCCCATCATTCTTGACGGGTTATGATCTAGTATATTATATATGTGAAAGTTATCATTCAAATATACACCTTTTTAAAAATTAAAGTCTTCGTAAATTTTTTGAATTTTAAAAAATAATGGTACAATAAAAATAAAGGTGGTCGTTTTTTATTGAGGCAGAGTATAATATGTATATATCAGAGACCTGAAGAGGTCATTTGCACGGCTTCGGATTCTTTTTTAAAGAATTTTTCGGTTCGGCCCAACCCAGGTTATATTTTAAGGCCCGACCCGGAAATTTTTTTTAAAAAATTTTTCGGCCCTGCCCAGATTTTTTTAAATATATTACATTTATTCTTAATTTTTATAGCTAATAATGTGGGTATTTTTTAAAAAAAAAAATATGCCATGCCTGGATTAAGGGCACGACAAGTGAGTAAAACGCAGCTACATTATTTCAATATAGTATGTATAATAATTCCCTATGAATGTCATAAATAATTATGAGTAAAAATGACCCCCCCCCCTCCCTGCTTAAAAATATTTTGAGCTTTTGCCCCCTTTTTTTTTGTACTTTTTTCTATTTATAAATAATCTTCAAAATCTATTTTGGATTTAAAATATAGTTGTCCGAAGTTTTTCTCTCATGTAAAAATAAAACTAGTTATTTATGTGAACTTAGAGGCCTCGGCCTGGTATTGGGGTAAAATAGAAAAGTGTGGCTAGCTTCTAAAGCCTAAATGGAAACGAGCAAAATATTTAAATTTGTCAGATCTGCAAAATTTTTGTTGGGTCCTCTCACGCCATCCTCTCCAGACACTTCTAGTTTAGCCCAGGTTCCCTCTATATTAAGATGCACACTTTATCTAGCCAGGGCAAAATATTTGCTTCAAATAGAGTTATTATTGACAAGTTACACAGATTATATATAAATTGAGGTAGTATGTATATTTATATTTTTTTAAAGGCGTTTATAAAATGTGTTATATTTACGATTTCCGAGATTATTGGAAGCATTATACTAGCTGTGGCGATATTGTTGAGTACTTCAGTGATTAGGGAAGTAAAAGTCGAAAATGTGATGACCAGAAGTTGGTGTGGGAATATACGCAATATATCAAAAGACCTCACCAAATATCTTGAGAGCCCAGAAGCCTGTCATGGGAATAGAAAAATAATTATAATATGATTTATTGACAAATTAAATTTTATTCGAAAATATAGGTGAAACTAAGTTATATCTAATTTTAAATAAATTTAATAAACATTTTATTTTGTAGCAAAATATATATTCATTTGAAATTACAAGCTAATAAATTAAATGAACCTTAAATCCAGCAGCCATAGCTAATCCACCTCCTAAAAGCAAATTAATGTCCCACATCAAGTCATGATAGATATCCTTCCATATTAGCAAAGGCTGATAATCAGGAATTTCTCCTTGTGGTTTATAATGAAACGTTACATTTTTAAATTTAATTTTTTTTAGTAATATATTTGTATTATTATTATTATAATGTTCTAGTATAACTTTCGAAAAGGCAATATTATATTATATTAATTTTGTATAATATTTTCTTGGAATTCAAATATCAAAATAAATTTATAAATTATAAATCAATTTTATATACCACTATTATCTTTGATCATAAGCACGGACCTAAAATCACAGGGTAATATGAAGAGCAGAAGAGCAATTAATAGCGCGGGTGTCGCATCAGAGACATAGCTTTTATTTAAATGTATGTTATATGTTGTAATAAACTTACATTAAAATAAATATAAACTTTTTTTCAAAGAATATCAGCCATCCTGGAATGAATTTCGGATTTTTGAAAATCCATAGACCAACTAGGGTGATAAATAAGCATAAGATTGTGATTTCATTTTGCCTTTAAAATATATTTAAACAAAAAATTATATAAAATGAAGAAGTAAATATTTCAATTTTAATTCTTAAATCGTATATAAATAATAACATTACGGGAGTGGGCGGAAGCCTGCTCACAAAAATGCTGTTTAAGCTAATGGTTCTATTTTAAAAAAAACATTTTTATATATACGCTTTGATAAAATTTTTTAACAATTTAGGACATGATGCCACTAACCCGGTATATACTTATAATGTAATAAAGTGATCAACTCATATATTTTTCTACTCCTTATACATATCTAAGGACAAAATCTAATTTTCTTTAAAATTAAAAATTCTATATACCTTTATCTTATAGTAACAATTATTTATTCTTGTATTTATTATTTTATTTTAATTGATTCAAAATGGCGATTTTCGAAAAAAATAGTGAAAAAAACATAATATATAATTTATCGTTAATCATAAACAATATAGTCTCATATTTAAATTAATTATTAATATGTAGTGGTCATACTGTACTACTACTCACTGTGAAATAGTTATCTACCAACAAACTTATATAAACATGTATTCAAATGTGTGGTATACAAAACCGGATTTTATTATAATAGCACAATGTAAAAAATGATATTGCATATTACCTAAATTTTCCTAGTTTATTTAGTTGTTCCCTGATGAACGATCTAGGATCTTCCGTAGATTTTTTATTTCCCATTTGCCGAAAGGTTTCTCTTTATTAATATATTATAATAAGTTTTAAATGTGCTTTTCAAGAATCAAGTTAACCAAAAATAATTACACCAGATGTAATAATTATATCAAGTTTCTTCAGTTGTAAAATATAAACCAAAAACAATCATAGTACCAAATCTTATCGATAATTCATAATGTAAACATTTTTTTAGTAAATAAGTAAAATGAGGGGGCGCAAATTATCATAATTTTATAGGATTTCGTGTAAACGAGAGACTAACATGTATGCTCTATATCATGAAATGACTGTTGGATTAATATATGGATCCACAATAAATAATAGCAATATTCAAGTGGCACTTTTATTTTTAACCATAATATCAAATTATTTTATTTTACTTAAATCCTATGAAGTAAAAACATAATTGCATCCATGTTAGAATTATGATGATGAGTGCACCCGGAAAAGAATATAGAAACCACGTCACAAAGCTTATTTCCGCTTTGGCTCCGAACAGACTAATAGTTTAATAAAATAAATAATTAAGTTTCAATATACTATAAATTAAAGGTCAACGGTTCTGTTTTCACGATTTAGATAGAACCTTGTTGGTTTAGCTTTTAGAGTTTGTTCCATGGTTCAGTCTCTGCAATCGGTTAGCAGCTTCCTATTTTATCATGAGAAATTAACAATTTTTTTCCATCAGTTTTATATCTGAGCATTAGCATTTCAGTATTTATTCTTGAGTATTTATGAATTTGTATTTTAAGCGTCTAAATAGGCGCCATTATTTTTGTTATTTAATATATTCGAACTAAGATCTTTTTTCATTAAATATGAACTAATATTGGTATCTCAAATAAATCTTATTCTAATTTTAGAGAAAATTTAGGTCACCATGCCCTTATATATTCAATTTTGATGATAATTACGTATAATATTTACACAGTTAAAAATCCGGTCATTATCAAATTTGGAGGTGTGCCAGTGAGGGATGCCGTTCCGCCTATATTACAAGCATAAGCGATCCCTATAAATATACATTTGCGAAGGTTTTGCAATTTGTCATCATCGTGCCTATAAAGATAAATTTTGTCTAAATTTTTTTTAAGACTGAGTCATTTTTTAAAATAATAATTAGAACTTAATAACAAGTTGTTCATTAATTAATATAATATCAATCTTTAATTGTAGCGAGTTATTATATTATACACTAAATAAAAACTCAATGAAATATATAACATTATTAGGTTCTAATTTAATCTATTTAAAATAAATATTACTTTGACAAGCTGGTGCTGGAATCAGAATCGATTAAATCTTCTTTATCTTTAACATCATTGATGATAACTACCGTTTGTTCTAGTATCAAATATATATTTTTAATTAAATTGGTTATGATTATAAGCTAAATCTTATCGTTAACTTATATAAAACAATTTTTTTTTTACTATATTAATATTACTATATATTTCGTATTGGGATCAATGATGTATATATTACTAGATTGGCGATATACTAATTAAAAGTGTACACATATAGGAGTCAACTGTAGCGTAATTTTATGGTTTGATCTATCATTATATGAATGACCATTAATGTCATTTAATTGAAGTCCATACCCAAAAATAACGTAACAGCGGTCTCCTATGTAAGAACACTTAATGCATTTAATGAATGAATCGCCAATCTAGTAGTACTTATACATCATTGATTGGGATATGGAATCCATGGGGATTTGAATTTCTCAATTTTATATAATTTAGAGTGGGCGAAAACGAATCCTAAACTATATTCCCAAAAACAGGAATTCATTTAGTTTTATCAGATTTGACTATGTTGAACATAAATATAAACCATTTTCTTTTTCGTTAAACAATTCGTGTTTCGATATCGTTTTGGCTTTTGTGATCACCGAAACTTTCTTGAACTTATGAAATTCTTCCATGACCCCAATAGCTACTGGCGTCATTAGTACTGCGGTGGCGGAGTTGTTTATCCAAATGGATATGAAGAATGTGGACATTATGAAGCCTAAAACCATCCTTTTAACGGTAATTGTATGATAGATATACTTTTTGAGAAAAAATTGACTATATTTTAAGAATATATTTCAGGATCATAAATATTTTTTAAATTTTTGTTCCTAAGTTCCTATATCATTTAACACAGAATCAACAAAAGGAATATTTTATATTATTACTAGACCCATGCGACCGACCGATCCAAGTGCAATCATGAATTTAAATCGGTCAGACGCCAGACTTTTTTTAGGCTCGGCTGGATTTGGACCGGATCAGAAGTCTAAAAAATTCAAATTCTTTTGTTTCCCTAATATATTTATGAATTATTTCTAAAATTAATCACAACATTGCTTAATACAATAGGAATTCAAACCTATCATTAAACCGGTATTAACAATTATTATTTTTACTAAACCTAAACCTATAAGCCGTTTAAAAACCGAACTTCTAAAAAATGCTTGTAAACCGGGACCTTTTGATATTTTAATCCTTTTAAAGATGACTAAGTTGTGACTAATAAATAACAATAATTATTAGATCTATTTCTATAATGTTATTTGACGGTGCTGATACTCAAGTTAGCATATATATATGTTCTCAGCCCTAAAATTTATTCTTCCTTCTTCTAGATATATTTTGGCAGAAGATAATCTTGATAATATTTTAATTGTATATGGCTTAATATTATTTTTTAAGAGAATAGTGATAAAATTTTTAATTAATGTTCTTTTCTTTAAATAATTTCAATACGCTTGTATGCGAAAAGGTTTGAACCGGTATTTAAAAGTTTAAACCGCGATATTATTATTTATAACAAATCGAACCCCGTTATTTTTATCTGAACCTAAACCTGAACCTATATTCGTTACATTATGAATCCCTGGTTATTATCCCTTAAGCGCATATAATTTTTCCGATTTCTTTAAAATATTATACTAGAGTCCATTAAAAAAAAATTTGGATCGGATCTGGCCTAAAAAAAATAGGTTCCATGCATGATTCTAGTTATTTATTACTAATTAAATATAATTTTAATATAGTATTATATATAAAACCATAATTTTCATACGGAGGGGGGCATCAGGGTTATATTTTTTATAAATAATTTTGGTTTCATTTTTTGGGGGAGAAGGGGTTTAGGCATAATTTTGCAAATTTACCAAAGGACCCCCCCCCCCTCTTGGTTACGTCTATGAATCTTATTCTATATAAAAAATTTGATACAATAAATATACATTTTTTAGATAAAAATTAACTTATTGTTTTATAAAATATAGTAAAGATTTTACCATATAGGTTTAGAGCCTGAATGCATCAACATATTTAAGGCTATTCTTTTGTGCAAATTGGTCGATTGAATACCTTTCGCTAATATGACAGATGCGAAGAATAAGAGGATAGGATCCTAATATCAGAAAAAGAAACGAGATTATTTTGTGTGATTTCTCTTAGGGTATGATAAACTTATTATATAAATTAAATTGATATTAACAATTATAAAAAAAGCATCAATCAATTAAAGTATATAACTGTACTAACCAACGTCATAAAAGCTCGCCAAAAAAAATTGGGTAAAAAAATTTATATAAAATGGGAAAAAAATATTAGAAAGAAATAATACATATAATAAAATTTTGTTAATATAGACAAAAAATTGCTTAAATTTAATAATGTTTTAAAAATGACCCGATTAAGATTTTAGCCAAAATAATATCATGTAAGCCTGGAGATTTTGCTCATAGATGGGGAAAGGTTTAGACCTCTATTTACCAAATCTCGAGGTTACATAATAGTATTTTGGCTAAAATCTTAATCGGGTCGTTTAACAACACTATTTGAAATTGAAACATAAAACATTTTATAATTTCAATTCAAAAAATTAATCAAAAATGAGGATTTAAAATCGTTTTTCTGGCTTATAAATGAATTGCCTGAAAATGAGCGTTAATTATTCATCTGCTAATGCATATATATATATTATTAATATTAAAAATATAGGATTTTGATTGTATTATGTGATGAATACCCAATCCTAAAAATTAAAAAGTTAATCCTGACAGAACAGGATAAAGGCATTATTTTAGAAAAAATTCACGATCCAAGCAAATGATTGTAAATGCATAAAAGGAAGTGACTTGTTGAAAACTAAGATAGCTGTCCTTGAGAGGCTTAATAGATGAAAATAGACATTTAAGCTTTAAAGGAATTATATATAAATGGAATTTCAAAATTAGTAGGAATGTTTCAATAACATCTGCGCTACATTTTTCGTTTTAAAAGTTATGTATGCGATGACATTAATATTAACCTGGACTGACGATTCATTTATTAAAAGTGTGCATACATGACAGTTGTAGTTAAGTGACATTGGTTGTAGTAGACGCCATAGATTTGTCTAAATGCCTTTCAATGGCAGACTTAAATTTATGTGGACTTATTAATGCTTTCTAGGTTAGCATTCATGTCATTGAAGGTTACACATAAAATTATATCAAAAGTTTATTTTAGTTCTTATACCCAAGAAAAGCTTATCAAAATCTACAAAGTAAAAAAAGACTAATATGGGTTAAAAAAACACATATATAAATGGCCTAAGCGAGGAAACAAAATTTGATTTGAAATATTTCAAGCCTAAAATCTTTGGTTATATGGAAGGAAAATGAATTTAATTCGAATTATCTTAAAAAATTCCTTTCCGCAAATGTCATGCTGTGGGGTTGGAGTCGTATGGCAGGAAAAGGTAGGAAATTTGTGTAAAATAACAATCAATGAAATTATAAACTTATTATTTGTTAACAGATTTTATCATTAAATCATTTGAAATCGTGCTTTTCGTATGGGGAATTTATCTTTCGGCTACAATGTCCAAGTTATTCATCAAATAAATTAAATATTTTGTTATTATATATAACCTTAACCAATAACTTGTATCAGACTTAAATCATATCAAGAGTTTTGGGAGAATTGTAAGAAATGATTCGAATAAGTATCATACAAGTGAAGAGATGATTATAAATAAAAGAATAGTGGCTAATCCCAAAAGAAAGATTTCAAACTTTTATTTATTAATAAAAATTTAATATTATGTTGTTTATATTATCCTTTATTATAAATTAAATGAAAAATATCTTTTAAACATATTTATTCTTTACGAGCTCTTTAAATTGATATTTTTGGCGCAGAGGTCAAAATATAAAGCACAGCCCGGATATAAATTTTTCTACTTTATAGCCTGGCCCGGATTTTAAAAAAATGTATTTATTAGACTCGATCCAAATTTGAGGAAATGATATTTAGACGGGGCCCGAATTTTTATTCCAGGAGTTTTAAAAAATTTCGTTATTTTGAATAATTTTGGTCCTATTTTGAAAGGGAAATTGAAAATATAAATATTAAATGAATATTTAAAGTTCCATTATAAGATTTTTCAACATTATCCACTGATTAATTGATGTAATTTTTTTAAATTTTAAGCCCGGACCCGATTTTTGTGATAATATTGTTTATCGGTTCTTTCCAGAACAGGCCTGTCTGATATCTTAAAATTGTTTTACAGATTAATTATACTAGATGTATACTATTAAATTATTATCCCCAATTATAATTATCTTAAGATTGGAACAAACCTTAAGAGGTAATTATCTAATATCGGACTAATTTTTTATATGAGTAAAAATGATTACCTGAAAGTACATCGATGAGACATCTTTGACATTCAATATACCAAACATGGGAAATAATAAAGCTGGGATTAGAGATGAAAGGGCTAATGGAAGAGCTTGAGATACTAGGAATCCTATGGTTACAAGACAGACATAGGCACATCTGATTTCCTGACTCGAAAATAAAGTAAGTTTTATTATAAATAGATTTTTTAAACAATTAGTATTATATAGTGTATATTAGTCCAAGACTATGCTCGAATCAGGAGCATAGCTAGGACCTTTTAATTTTTCAGGGCTCAATGCGTTCTCAAAATCTAAAATTATTCATAAATCAATATATATTTCTATTTTTTGCTTCAATTGTATTCTAAAAAAATTGTGAGGGGCTCTACATATGAACAAGGCTTCCTTAATGACCACTTAATACAATATATTTAATTCATATAGAAAGATATAGAAATATCATAGAGGACTAAGTTTCGAGACATTTTATCCTTCGTGACACTCCTGCCGTGATTGATCTTATGTTATGGCATTGCATACAAAATACTTATAGTGCGTTCAAATCTTACGATTTTGAGGCTGCGTTGAATCGCAAATAATGAATTTCAAATGATAACGGTTAAAAAGTTGCTATTCTAACTTTGAGTCACAAATTATTTTAAAAATGGCAAATAAGTTTCGAATCTTTTACTATTTTCACTTTTTAATATCGCCTTAATTATACAAAGGTGTGTTTTTTATTTCTCTTGAATCGCAAACATAAATCGGAAACACTAGATTTGAAAACACTATTATTTGCTCAAAATCTATAAATGGTGGTACTCCCATTAGATGATTATTTACATATTATATATTATGTTAATGTTTTTAACAGAGTTGTTTAACGCTACTTTTAAAAGTAGCGCGCTACCGCTACGGCTATTTGTTAAAAAAAGTAGCGCGCTACCGCTAACGCTATTTGTCAAAAAAAGTAGCTCGCTATTAGCTACTATTTTTAAAAGTAGCTTTACTTTTTAAGCTACTTTTTATAAAAAAAATTTACAAACAAATTTTTTATTTTTTGCTTATAATATTATTGTATAGTAAATATATAAAAATTAGTATTTATAAATATTAAAATATAGTTAGTTTTGATTATAAAAAATTTATGTAATAAAAATAAATATTTATGATGATTTGTTGCATTTTAATAATAAAATCATTTCAATATTATCATCCCCAAGTCTAGAGCGACTATCAGAAAGTATAAGTTTTGCTTTATTAAATAATCTCTCGACACTAGCACTTGAGGGTAAGGGGGTATTTAATCTTATATACATATTTTTAGTTTAAGATAGATCATCAATAATTTTATTTGCAAGTACATCGTATGTCTGGCATCCTATTATCATTTTGAGGGCTAATGCCACAGATCTTCCTTTTAAAGTTCTAGGGTCTAGCCAATGGCCTGTGATTCCCAAATAAGCTCAAAAATATTTAATCAGATCAATTTATAAATATAAATAAGTTTTTACCTTCTGTTATGTGTTCAACTATCTCCCGTGGTACATATATATGATATCTCTGATAACTCTACTATTAGTGCATCTTTTATCATTTTAAAGTTATCTGCTATTTTATTCATTAGTGTCTGGCGGCATAAAATTGTTGTACCAGGGGATAGAGTTTTAATCATCATGGTAAATGATAGATTATCAACTAAGGACATTGGCTGAACTGTATAAATTATAAAATCAACAACAACTTTATCAGCCAATTTCTGAGAAATATTGTCATTTGCATTATTAATTAATTTGGTTTGAATTGAATTAGTCTTTTTGGATTTAGAGTTGCCTATACCATTATTATTTAAATGTTTCCCCATTTCCTTAAAACTCATGAACAGTCTTATAAAATAAATATTATTAGAATGTAAAAATGGCAATGTACCTTTATGTGTTTCTTGAGGTTATAGCTACTGGATTGATTTGGGGAAATATTTTTTTTTACATTTTAAACAAATAAATTTGAAACCAATTTTGGTTATATATTTATTTTAAAAAATTTTCAAATCTAGGGAATGGGTAATTTGTATTATAGCTATTAAGAACATTTTCTTACCTTGGTATTATCCATTTCATAATATCATTGTCTGAATCACTTTCAACGATTTGGATATCCATAGGCGATGACATTTTAAATTATTAACACGTGATTTAGTTTTAAAATACAAATGAAAATATAAATTACAAATTGAAATTATATTTTAATTTCAAAATTAAATAATATATCAAAAAAATTATAATTAATTATGATATTATATTTAAATTTTCATGTTTATACTTACCTTCATTATATTTTTTAAAAGTAGCGAAGTAGCGGCTACTTAGCTACTTTCAAAAAAAGTAGCGCCCTTAAAAATTAAATAATTTCAAAAAAAGTAGCCGCTATAGCTACCAAAAAAGTTAGCGAGCTACAAGTAACGCACCACTTTAACAACTCTTATTTTTAAATTGAATTAAACAAAAAAGTTTAAAAAACATATTTATTATTACAAGAGATTATAATATATTATAATGGAATAAAAGATGCTTTTCGATAACAATTAAGTAGGTAAAAAGAATAAGGATTTTTTACTACTTGTTATCACATAATTGTAAGGTGTTAATAAATATTAATAAACAACATTCATAGAATACATCAAATCTATGACCTAATTATTATCAAGAGGAATTATGGCTTCGTTAGTTTTTAGGCGGGCTAAAGTTTAATTTTTTAAATTTTGCTAATCATTTAATAATTTAAATAAATAATATTTAAAAAATGATCAAGATGAATATTAGAAAGTATTTTATAAACGAGTTGGTTATCGGTTCTCTCCTTTTGATATTTATTACAAATGCCACCCTCTCTGAAATAAAAAGGAAATAACGCACTATAGTGTTTATAATTTGAATAGATGCATCTAGAGCATCATGTTTTTCCTAAAGAGGCTTTGTTGTTTTAATTATCTTGCATTTTTTAATCCAAAAATGAAATTTTTTAATTTGCACATTTAAAATACATTACTTGATATAAAACGCTTCAATTGTAAACATACTCTTAAAATGAAGTAGAACGGATTACTTTTCTAAACTTAAAAAACAAAGAAAATAACATATATATATATATATATATCTTAGTTATTAAATCTTTATAAATTTACCTTAGTTTTATAGGATATAATTAAGGGCGAGAATATGATGGGTATAAGAAGAGATATGTAGAAATTTTTAATCTTCATAAAGCGTTTAAAGGCACTTTTGAGCAAAGGAACGATCGAAAACTCACTTTTGACCTTAATAATCCTTTGCTGGATCAAATCGAATTCATTCATCATAAATTTTATTTTAACTTGTTTTAAATATTAATTTTTTTTTAATTAATACACATTTATTATATATTATTAAATTTAGGATAATAATTTAATTATTTATAACAAATTTATTTATAACTTTTTTTTTTGAAAAAATAAAATTATGAAATAATTTATTCCAAATTTATGCGTTATATTTTAAATTTATGCATTATATTTTAAATTTAATTTTAAATTGTAAATTTTTTTTGAATAAAAGATATGAAATGTTAATTTTTTTTTAAAGAAAAAGTATGTAATATATTTTTTATAAAAGCTATAAATATAAATATCGTTTAGCCTTATGAAATCAAGATCAAGGATTGTTTTATTATTTATAAATTTTTAATAGAGCAGAATATTTATTAAATTTTCATATCCAATATAATCGGTCCGATAGGAAATTGATCTAATTTTATTTAATTAAAAAGGGTGTCACACCTCCAAAATAAATAACAAACACGCGATAAGTTAATATTTGATCATAATTTATCCTCTTTTTTTTGGATACCATTCAAAATTTATAGGGCATGCTGGTGGCATTAAATATTGATTCGCGAAAATGATGAAATTTTTTTTTTAGATGATATGGTTTTTTAAAGCTTTAATTTATCTTCCTTATAGATAGGAATAAAAATTACGTAATTTAAAATATCATTCCACCTTTCATTTTATCATCAAACGAAAACAACTAAAAAATATGATTTAATAAAATTAAATTTATGGGTAAAAACTTAAAAGATACTGCATATACTTCGCATATAACATTACATCAATAAAGTTATTTAAACATATCTAGATATAACATACACCAATAAAATATATTTAATTGAAAATAATTTAAGTTCTTCGGAATATGCCAGATGGCTAGTCCCGCCTAAAGAAATTTTTTTTATGTTTATTAATAAGTTTGCCATTGTGGGTGCCTAGTTCCTTAGAAAATGCTAGGGCGAGCTCTTCTAAGGTGTTTAGAAATAATAGAAATATAAATTAGCTCATTCGAAATTTCGGAATATTTAGAAATTTTCAACTGCTCCTTTTTTTCCGTAATGTTTAATTTTTAGATGGAGGAAGTCAGTGGGTGGACAAAAGAATAGTCCAAGACTAGGAATTAGCCTCAATTTCAAAGAATTTGAGATGTCAGGGGATTTTCCATCAAATCGGGAAAAGCACCAGATAACAAGTTACTATAACGCGCTATAAAATAGGCAGGTATAGCAGATTTTACATACATAAATTGTGTAGATTGCTTCTAATGTTACAAATGCTGCAATAAGGCCAAGTCATTGACGGAAGAGCTTCAGAAATTTTTATTTTAGAAATTTTTCAAATTTTTTTTTGAATTGTATAAGCTGTTGATTTTGACTAGACCTAATATAGTTTAGGAGGAATTTTAGGTTTGAAATATTTTAAATTTCTTTAAAAAAAAAATTCACATCCATTATCCTTTGATGCTAATCGATTATTCGTTATTTTTAAAAAATTATCTCAAAATTTTTTACATCGGATGATAAAATTTGAGATTACATGAATTTTTAAAAATCTATTGGCAGGGCATGTAATTTGGAACGTAATTTTATATAAATCTTAATAAATATTTAATATATAAATATAGTAATTTCTTATATGCCAAAATTATTAAAATAGCTGTAAAAATTATATAATAATACCGTACAGATAAAAAAATAATAACCGCTGGGAAATAACCAGAAAATATAAAAAGCAATTTAGCATGTCCTTTTAATAAATTTTGCCAAAAAATGGGAATCCTTACAAAATAATATATTTTTTCACAATGGTATTTTAGCATATATATATTAATGAATATTTCTAATACAACATAATATCATTATAAATATAAACAATGTTCTAGTAATATGCAAAACATCAATCGTAATAAACTAAAATCAATTGTTAAGATGTTTGCCAACGTTGCAGATTGGAATGTACCTTCAAGTGCTTATAAAGCTGAATAGGTAATGAGACCAAATAAAAATATACTAATCGAGATAGATTCAAAGATAATCACACATGAAAACAAAATTAATATTAAAGTTTGGAACCTTGGAGAAAAAAAATGGTTCAAGTACTAAATATTTTCTAAAAATTAGTTACGGTTCTTAAAAATTTATTCTAAAACGAGTGTGTGGTTTTAGTTCCAAGAATTTGAAAGAGAGATTTTCGGGATTCCGGTTATTTGTATCGGTTCCAGGGGTTCCGGGTTTTGGTTTTAAACCTATGGTTAATATTTAATGGATCTTATCTTTATAAAATAATTAAATCGAATACATTTGGAGGATAACAGTGTGAAAGTGTGATTTACACTTTTAGATATTTTGCCTTGAAAATAACTTAAAGCACTTGCCAATTAGATATAAATGAATAGTATAACCTACTAATAATTTCAATTTTACAATCTAAGATTTTCTGCCTACTTATGAATCTGACAGTTAGATAGAGCTGCCTATATTGTAAGTAAAATCTGCATTGGGGTCTTTTTGTGATAAAGAGTAAGCGCCCTGGATGACCAATGCGAGCCTATGACATCACCAATAAAATAGAGAACACATCCATGGCCGAAAAAAATATTAATGTTTTATTTCCTTCCTTAACCTTCCCCCTTTCCCTTGATTGAATATCACAATTATTAATAGAATTATTTAAATTAGATTCATATCTGGTTAAAGCCAGTTGCGCTCCTTTAAAATAAAGTAACGAGTATAACCTTTATTGCATATACTAATATAATATAACCAAAAATATATTTATAAGATCTTTAAAGCATTGGAAATGCACCGATATAACTTTCATTTACCGATTCCGTCTGACACTGCAGGATACCCTGCCCCATACTGTATATAAAATAAACTACTGAAAAAACATATACACATAACAGGAGTAATAACTAAACCATATTTATTTGAATTTCATGAAATTTTGTTTTTTAAAAAAATATTATTTAAAATAATAAAAAATGAATTTAAGACTTTTTTTTCTTTATTATCTTTTCGGATTGTGTTTAATTTAATTTAGTTTACCTTTTAATTACAAAAGATACCAGTTAGGCGGAAAATATATAATATAATACAATTAGGTGATGAAAAGGTAAATAAAGCATTTTCCAGGAAGGGAAACTTTTAAAAATTATTTGTTTAATAAAAATGGTTTCAAAAAGACGAACTATTTTTCACGATAAATTATAAAAATCAGAGACCTACAGGTCCTGTCCTAAGCCCGGCCGGGTAAAAGGGTTGGGCTGCATTTAAATTTTTAATTATACCCAGACCGTACCAGACCTTAAAAATTAATATTTTAAAATACCCGGGCCGTGCCTAAAAAAAATGTTTTTGAAAAAAATACCCGGGTCGAGTCTGGCTTATTATGCAACCAAATATTTTAAATCGCCATTATTAAATATAAAAATTATAAATATATATATTTGAAAAAATATCCGGGTTGGGCCTAAAATACCGGGCTGTGCCAAAAAATTAAAAAAAACAATTCGATCAGGGTCGTGTAAATGGTATATCTGCATCTGCAGGTCTCTGATAAAAATATTTGATAATAAATTTCATTCATTATCAACTATTGGTATCGGAAAAAAATATAACGATACCGGTGGATACCATGAGTATTAAGCCCGGTACATCTCTCATAAAAAATAGATATTAATCTTTAATAATTTACCTTGGTGTTATAGGATATAATCAGAGGCGAGAATATGATGGGTATAAGAAGAGAGATGTAGAAATTTTTAATTTTCATGAAACGTTTAAGCGCACTTTTGAGCAAATGAACGATGGAATGCTGACCTTTGGCCTCAATCCTCTGCTGGATCGAATCGAATTCCATCATTATAAATTTTATTTTAACTTTTTATAAAAGTTTTTAATTAAAACTATATAAAATAATATTTTTTTAAAAATTTAATTTAATAATCTAACAAATTTATCGAATTTATTATATTTAAGAATCTAGGATAATTCCATTCATTTATTTTGAAAATTTGAAATTTTTTTTTATATAAATTATAATTATTCTATTGAAAAAATATTTCGTAATGTGTTTTGTTGTTAAAAAAAGGTATGAAATGTTTTTTTTAAAAAGGTATATTTATTTTAGCTATTATTTTATTTGCATTTAATCAAGTTCAAAATATATTATTATTGTTATTGAAAAATAAGAATATCCAATATAATTAACCCGAATAGGATACGATTAACTGACTTTTTATTTAAATAAGTAGGGCGTCACGTCACACCTCCGAAATAAATAAACACGTCATAAGATAACTTTTTTTTCTTTTTTTTGGATACCATTCAAAATTTCTAGTACATGCTATTGGCAGTAAATATTGATTTGTAAGAATGATGAATAGAAAAAAAAATAAGATATGATATTTTTAAAAAATTAAACTATTAGATTCTAACTTAATAAAAATGGTGAATTAAAATTTTAAAACATTATTCACCTTTCATTTTATGCGCAAAGAAATGTTAAAAAAAAATGCAAGTTTTGGATAAAAATTTTATATTGTGAATTTTATTTTATTATTTTTTTCTAAAAATTTATTTTTACTTAAAAATATTTCCTAGAATATTCATTATACAATAGGCAAAATTATGTAACAACTTATTAAATAATTTTTCATATTAATCCTTTGGCATTATATATGTAATATAATCTTCTTTCTTTTTTTATATAATCATCTCAAATTTTACCCTATTAGATGATAAATTTTGAGAATATTTAACCCGTCAATACTCCGGTGAAAAAAAATAGCGTGCTTCGTTTGGGGTTTAATAAACTTAAATTACATTTGAATACATCTCCATCTATTCATTATTCTGCTTTTATAATTTGACATAAAATAAAACTACCTTAAAAGTTAAAAAATATACCTTTATTTTAATTTATTATGGTCAGGTAAAAAAAATATTGAGGATTATTATAACTTGTGCCAAAATTTTATAAAAAATCTTATAAATATTAAGTACTATTCGAAATCGATTGTTTGATCTGATTATCGTCATCTTGCCCTTAGAAAATATAGGTTATAATTCGGAAGAGTATTATGGAGGGGACATTTGGTCAGGAATTAAAACAAAATAAGTGATAATGAACATCCCCAACCAAAGTTAATTTTTAAAAATGTGTGTTCGAATATAAATACAAATATAATTCTTTAAAATATAAAAACTTAATCCCAACAAATTTTTTTAGAAAAAGATAAAATACTAATATTTGGAACAAGGAACCTTTTACTTTAATTTCCTTCTCCAAACATTTTGATGCAAAATATGGTAAGCAGAAATAGCTGTAACAATATTCTAATAATTGATTTATTGTGGATTTAAATATGGAGGAGGGCGATTAATACAATTATTTGATTTGAAGTTTCGAATTGAATATCAATTATTCAATTCATATTTATATAGGTTTATTCCATACCATCCAACAAGCTAAGGATGGTATAAATTTTAAAAATAAAACAGGACATTCAGCAGCTCCTACAAAAAGGCAAGGGGGGGGGTACCAAGCAAATACTTTATTAAATTTGCAAGGATATAAATAATATAAAAATAATTGCTTCAATTATTAAACCAAATTTTATAAACCCCCCCCCCCCCCCCACCCTATGGAATATATATTTTAAAAATAATTTCCATACCTAATTCAAAATGTCTAACATTTAAATCTGAATCAATCATTGCCATTTCCTATTCCCCATAGTATAAGAAGCGACAAATGGATTGATCATATCTCCGGGAAAAACACGGGATTCTTAATGTTCATGATATAGGAAAAATTTAATCTAAATTTTCATGACATAAAAAGAAACCCTGAAGTAGTGGCAGTTAAAAATGCTACACAGGTACGATGTTATAAATTAAGATGATGTTAAAGAACTACAAAACTTGTCAGATTTTAATTTACCCTACCCCTACATTGCGGAAAGAGCGATAAGTAAATTTAGTCTACAAAGCTTTATATCAGTTTTAAATAATTTAATGATTTTGCTATGGAAAAAACTTTATTTAAAAATTGAAAATATTATAAACACGTATTCTTCCTCCAATTTATAGAAGTTACTAATTTTAATATTTGTTATAGAAAATATCTTATTTTCTTACCATTTTAATTTCCCCTAGACCTATTCCCTTTAAAATAATTACATATTTAAAAAAATGTTTATACTTAAATGTATCTACATACTATATCAGTTGCAATATATAAGGTAGGAAACTTTATTTATTTTATTAAAAAATTGTATATTTTTATTGTACGAATTTTTAGTTATTAAAGATTAATGCATTTTATTTTTGTGCAATAAAGATGACTTTATAATATTTTTGAGTATTTAATTAAGAGGGGTGGGGTAAACTTTATTGCTGTTTTTTTCCTTACTTAAGTAAAACCACTGACAACATATGTCTTATCACTGATTAATTGAGGAAAAAGAATACATAGGCTTATCAAAATTTACGGGGAAATTTTTTTTTTGAAGATTTTTATTATTTTTTTATAGTTTATATCGAAACATTTCATATAAAATATATTATATTTACATTATTATCTAATAGAAATCTGCGTACCGTGTCGGAGAACGTCTAAAATTTTTCTTAATGAGCCGGGCAAAGATTTTCCTGGCCAAAATGTGTAAATATAAATATTTGATTATTTCTAATATTTCATAGAAGTAATAGTGTTTACACTCCAAGATTATAGTTGTTTATTTTGATGTTCAACTACATATATGGTTTAGGCCTTGTATTTAAAAATTGTTAAATACTAGGCCACACCGGGCTGGGCAACCTTAGTAAAAAAAATTGACATCTAGTCAGGCTTGAGAATTTTGACATTTGCAGACCTCTGATATCAAATATCTATTTAGAAAGTTATATAAAAATTAAAATATATTTCATAAAAAGTAACGTAATTTTTAGAATGCTAATTATATAAATGCATAAATCGGAATAGATCAAAAAAAAAGTGAAGATAAATTATAATATTTCTCATAGCTAATGTTTATTTGAAATAATTCAACCTGACATTTATAAGGTGAAAGCCGCGCTCACATTCAACTGTACACATGGAATTGTGTTAATACAATTTTGAAACTTTCAAATCACGAGTACTATTACGCTCATTTTTATCAATACTCCCCCCTCCCCCTCAACTGCATCACAGGCTATTCACTAGAAATAGTGAAAATATATCCTCTAGGACTCGATTAGATCTTGATTCAATTTTTTTTATTAGGGACAGACTCAAATGACTAAATATTAGATTCTAATTCAGGTATTAAAATATTTTGTCCGGACGTTTTTAAAGACAAAAAAAATTGATTTTTCAAGTCTCATCAGGGTTTTCAGACCTCTCGCTTTTGGCGTAAACCTTCCAATTTTATATTATCATTTGCGCCAAAATACACCGTCTATTAATTTATGCTTTAACCAACTTATATGAAAATTTTACACTTTCCCATGATTTTAAATTTTTTAAAGTTATAAAATAATTTAAATTAGTTTAACCAGAAACTTACACTGCCATTTTTTATTTTAATTAAATTATACATTTAAAAAGGCATCTTGTTTTTGTTTATTATCAGAGTTGTTAAAGTATCTAGATACTGTATCTAGATATAAAAATGTAGTATCTGTATCTGTATCGAGATAGATTTTTTAGAAAGGTATCTATATCTGTATCTAGATATTTTTTTAGAGGTATCTGTATCTGTTTTTAGATACTTTTTAAGATACATTTTATATACCCCTTTTTTTATTATAAACAAAAATATTTGACTGTAAAATTTATTTTATTTCATATGAGCTTATGAAATAAATAAATAAATAAATATATATTATATATTAATATTTATTAATACTATAATAAAGAATTATATATACATAAAATATTAAAACTTATATATAAAAAATATATATAAATATTCATTAATTTAAATATTATGTCCGAGTTTATCAATAAACCATACAAATTTTAATATAACAATATGGAAATGGTAAATTTTATTTTATAACTAAATTTTTAAGTTTATATATTTATTTAGATCTATATCAATGAAGAAGAGGAAGCAACAACAAGTTCTTTACCATGGCCAATTTATAGAACATATTTTAAAATAATATCTCAAAACAAAGAAAACAATTCTTTGATGGTAAAATGTTTGCCGTGTCTACCTAAAAATACAAAAATATCCGTCAGTATGACTTCAACGTGCAATATCATGAAGCACATAAGGGTATAAATATTATATATTTAAAATTCTAATTTAAATTTTAAGAGAAAACATCCAACCTTGTTAACAAAAATAAAAAAGGGGAAGGAAAATAAAACTACCAAAGAAAATATTGGACAAGACTCATCCTCCAATAATATTTTTGCTAAAAGACCTTTGACTTTAACTCAAGGCACTTTAGATGATTTAATTATTGCTTTTATTATAGTTGGTATGCAGCCATTTTCAATTGTTGAAAATCCATCTTTTAAAAAAATGATCAACACTTTGGCTCCAAACAAAAATATAATTTGCCGACAGACAGTTGTTGGTAGAATTTCCCAAAGATGGGAAAATGAAAAGAAAGAAATAATTAAAAGTCTTATAGAACCATCATTAATATGCACAACAGCAGATTGTTGGAGTGCCTATAGCCGGTATAGCTAACATTTAAATTTGTATAATAATTAATTAAGAATAAATTATTTCAGAAATTTTAATTTTTAGTTCATACATAGGAGTAACCGCTCACTATATAAATCCAATAAGTTTGGAAAGAAGAAATATAGCGTTGGCTTGTAAAAGAATGACTGGTAGTCATACATATGATAAAATAGGAAAAAATTGACAAGATATAGCTAAGGA